GTCAACGATACTCTGAGGTCACTGAAGGAGGCATTAACGGTGACCATGGTCACCCTTGCACCTATCTGCGCTTTGTGTCTTCCAAACACTTCTGAGATAGGGAGACCAAAGATGCTGGTGTAGAAACAGAGGCCCAGAGAGAAGGAACTGGAGTGCAGAGCAAAGGCAAATGGCCAGGGGGACAGGAGGGGACAGTCCCTGCTCACCCAACTATCAGTCCAAGAACCTGTGCCAAACCTCTCAATGCAAGTAATTGATTTTCTTCTTTTGCTTTAACAATTTGAAAATGATACATCATGGTGGTTGACCCCTAAACAGGTATTACTGGGTTATGCTACCATAGCCAGAGCTGGGGGAAGGGGGAACCTGGGGGTGCCAGTCACCAACTTCTCAGAAACTTCAACTCAATAATTCAGTTCAACTCGTTGAGTTCAGCCCACATTAACTGAGTACCTACTCCATGCTAGGCTCGCTAGGCCCTACCAGAGGCACGGAATGAATAAGGCCAGACGCTTCTCCTTCCAGAATGTACAGCCTAGCAGGGCGAACTAACAGGCATGCCAATCAGCACCAGAAGTTAGAGTCCAGAGGGACCGAGGAGGCCCTGGGAGCTGGCTATAGCCAGCCCCACGGCTATCATTGCCAGAAGGAAGCTGGAAAGGCAGTGTGGTCGTTCTCTATTCCCCCAGATTAACTGGAATGCCCTGTTCCTCGCTTTGGTCAGCCTAGTTCCCCACGAGGCCAAGAGTGGGGAGATCGGCTGGTGATTTTAGATGTCAACGGACTTCCAATGGGGGCTTTTCCCAACAACATACATAAAAGGGAAACACAAGCCCTGTGGAGCAGAGGCAGCGGCCTTCCTTCCCCCTGGCCAGGGGAGGGAGGGAAAGGGACTCACCACAGCTGGAATCCGAGTACTCGGACTGGGTCTCCCCCAGCTCCTCGGGGAACGTGGGGCCGGCAGCATGGAGGCACATCTCCGTGTGCTGCGGGGACTGCGAGCCGCAGGACGTGCACTTGGGCGGGTGCAGGTAGAGCGGGGAGTGGCTCTCGCTGCTGCTGCGGGGGGAGCCCGTCAGGGACCTGTGGGCAGGAGGAAAGAGCCTCAGCAGCTGGATGGGGTAGTGCGCTCCGCCTGGCCTCAATGCCGTCCCTTCTCCCTGTGCTCAGGGAAGCCCAGAGGCTTCCTTGGGATTTGGAGCCACAGAGATATTCATCCTCAAGCCTACCTGGAGATCACTGACGGGGTCAAACTGAGCTGAGATCTTGCTCCTGGGCCCAGTTTCTTGCCTCTTTTTTTTTTTTAATTTTTTGTTTGTTTGTTTTTAAATGGAGGTGCTGGGGCTTGAACCCAGGACCTCGTGCATGCTAAGCACACACTCAACCACTGAGCTATACCCTCCCCCGCCCCAGGCCCGGTTTCTTATCCCTCAGCTCTGCAGTCCATGGCCTCCTTCAGTCCAGGGGAAGTAGGAGGACCCCCAGCCACACTGAGACTGCAGGAGCTTGGGGGTCCTTAGGATGCTCTCCTACCGCACAGGGGAATGACCTCTTCTGCTATGAAAATACACTGACACTTAATGTCCTTCCCTATTAGGCTAATCCAATCAATAGCCTTTCTCCCACACCTCCAACATGCTCAGCACTACAGGCTAGAGAGGAGCACAGCCCCTGCGTCCGTCAGAACCCTGCCCGGGGCACCCTGCCCCCAGCCCGACTGCCTCCGCAGTCACCTGTTGACGATGTTATTGAGCCGGCTGGCCTGTGGGATGGTGGAGTCCTCCCCACTGGTGCTGAGCTTGGTTGGGGACTGGAGGTCAAGGTTCTCGGGCTCCATGGGCGGCTGGCAGGCCGGAGGGGCAGCGTAGGCGCGAGGGGAAAGGCGGCCCAGCTCGGCCGGCTCAGGCCCCTCGGGCTTGGCGTTCTGATTGAGGCTGTTGAGCACGATGAACTTGTACTTCTTCCAGTTGCAGGCTTTGGGGTCGGTGGGGCTCTTGGCGGGAGGGGAGCCCGAGGTCTGGAGGATACAGGCGTTCTTGCTGCTGCAGGACTCCGTGGGCGAGTTGGGCTGGCAGTCAGATTTCTGGGGGCTCTGAGGACTCACCAGGCCCTTCCTGTTCAGGGGTGCGCTGGGGGGCTCGAAATGCAGGGCGATCTCATCCTCTGAGGACGGCCGCTCTTCCTCCTTGCCAGCCTTGTCACAGGGGAAGTACGGGGCGCTCCGGGCTGAGGGGGCGGCTGGCTTGGGGCCCTCGGCTACGCTGTAGTGCATGTCACTCCGGGCCTCCTCTGGGGCTGCCTCCTTGGGCGAGTAGATGCTGCTGTGGCACACGCCGGGGGGTATCTCCAGGGCCGGCCGACTGTACTCACTGGGGACCGGCCTGGCACTATCGCAGGGGAGGGCCCGCTCCTTGGGGAAGGGGTTGGCCACAGGCATCCGGGCATCCCGCAGCTCCTCGTCAGAGAAGAGGAAGCTGCTGACAGGGAGGTGGCTATACACGGGGTACGAGGCGGGTGGCGTGGACAGGCCATTGTACAGGCTGGGGGCGAAGGCTCTGCTCTCACACCCGGGGGCGCTCCTCAGCGGTAGGCTGTTCTCCACCACCTCGCGACCCCGGTAGGCCATGATGTCCTGGGGCATCAGCATCCGGCCATTCAGGAACTCTTCACGGGGAGGCTTGATGGCCGGAACCATCTCTGCTTCACTGCAAGAGGGAAAAGAGAGAAGACACTAAACCCCATATCAGAACTTCCCAGGTGACACTGGTCTAGGAACCCACATTTGTGCGTGGGTCAGGCAGACACGGGGGATGCGGCCCTGGCATAAGGAAACACTTGCAGTTACAAGGCAGTCCTGCTAAAAATCTAGCAATCTAGCCCACAGTCAGGAAGCCGAAGCCTAGAGAAGGGAAGTGAGTAATCCACACAATCAGTGACTGTTTAGATGGGATCTTGTATAAGTCACATATGCATGTGTGTGTGTGATCTATGATTATCTATCATTATTCTGCTGTTACAGCGCATCAAGCTTTCAGAGCCCTCATCTCATTTCACCCCCACGGAATCCTGCAAGGAAGGTAGAGCAGGTTTGATTAGCTTCCTTTTACACACATGGAAATTGAGCTTCAGGGAGGGAAGAATTCATGCAATGCTGGTGCCACGTGTTAAAGGGCCCTTGTCAAACTGGTGTCCTGTGAAGAAAGGACTTGCCCTATGTGCTGACT